TGTGACTTTATTCTTATAATATTACGACTTTATTCTTGTAATGTTACCACTTTATTCTTGTAATTTTACGGCTATTCTGATAATGTTACGTTTTATTCTCGTAATTTTATGACTATTCTCATTGCGACTTTATTCTTATATTACGACTTTATTCTCGTAATGTTACCACTTCATGCTTGTAATTTTACGACTATTCTGATAAAGTTACGTTTTATTCTCGTAATTTTATGACTATTCTCATTGTGACTTTATTCTTATAATATTACGACTTTATTCTCGTAATGTTACCACTTTATTCTTGTAATTTTACGACTATTCTGATAATGTTACAACTTTATTCTCGTAATTTTATGACTATTCTCATTGTGACTTTATTCTTATAATATTACGACTTTATTCTTGTAATGTTACCACTTTATTCTTGTAATTTTACGGCTATTCTGATAATGTTACGACTTTATTCTCGTAATTTTATGACTTTATTATCACAACGTTACGACTTTATTCTCGAAATAGGAAAAAAAAAAAAATCTCTAGCCTGGCCATAATACTCCGTTTCAAGAGTTTATTTTGCAACCTTCTGTTTTGCTTTTTCTGTTTGTCAACCAGCAAACTTTCATCTCCATTTATCATAACACTATTAGATGAGGATTACTCTCGACCCTAGAAGAATCTTAAGTACCTGGACTGTCCTTTTTTGATTTTCTTTTCCTCTGTTTGGGGGAAATGTCGTCTTCCTGCAAAACACCCCCAAATTAAGTTCCACTGCTATTAAATAAAACAAATAGATCAAGAAAGTGGATACTGCATCTTAAAGTCCAACTTACTTCTAGCATACTCCTTGGCCTTTTATTAGCATTGCTGTTGCTGCTTAAATCTTCATTCTCACCCTCCAGATTTGGTTCCACCTTCATAGAAATTTGCATCGCCGTCTTGCTGCTGCAGCCTGGCTGAGCAACATCCGGCTGCCCTCGAGAATTTTGCGTCTGGGAATCTGTCTGCGCTTCACTGAGATGATCAGCATGTGAAGAGGGTAGAACAGGAGGCATGACTGAGGGGCTTCCAGGTATCGATTCCCAATGGAAACCCTCAGACAGAGGCAGGTCACTGTCCTGTGCAGGACCTCCCGTGTCTGTCGGCTGGACTCCCAACTGGATTCCAAACCTGTACAAGGAAAGAAGAGATTGAAATAGATTCTGAAGAGCAATAACTAAACCCATCATACCAGGTGAATTTCCTCACCGGGGTCTGCCTTTTAAGGTTTTCCTTTTCATGTTATCGTACATCTCAGTCCAACTCAATTTGTTAGGGACTCCAGGTATGTGAAGCTGCTTATTCAGGAGGGGATTATGTTCCACTGTGCATCCGCTGACTGAGGGCAGAGAATTGCTGGCCTCCAGAGATTTTCTTTTGTCATCATTCTTTGGGCGATCTTTTAGCTTCTGACTCTTTGTTTGGTTAGTTTCTTGTGTGGCTTTAAAAGTTGACAGTTTCCCCTTAAGAGGAGGAATGGTGGAAAAGGAAACACCAGCATCAGCTGGAGGAGCACAGTTGCTGGCCAGAGCATCGGTATTAGCTGGAGTTGCTGCTGACTGCTCGGCGTTGTCTTGTTTTTCTGTATCCCGATGCTCAGTTTGAACATTTTCAGTCTGCCGTCGGGCTTCTCGGTCCGCCCGGCACGGCTCCCTGACGCCAAGCGCTCTCCTGATTTGCTTCAACATGGCACTGATGTCAACATCTTGTATAGGAGCTGGACTACTAGATTTGTTTTCGGAATCCCCTGGAGCTGAACTGTTTGTACTTCCAGGCTGATTGGGGTCCGTTTCCCGGTGGTTTGGTGGAGCTTGGTTGACTTTCTCAGCTTGGTTGTGATCAAAGCTAATGGCTCCACTCTGAGGGGGTTGATCACCAGTAAAGTAACCATCAAGTGCAGGATTCTTCTGGTTGGAGTTGCTTTGGCTGATTGCAGGCATTGCTTGTTTTAAGTTGGCAGAAGCACTTTGAGAGTTATATGAACCCATCTGGAACCTTTTGGCCTTCATTTGGTGTTGTTGGTTGTAGCCATAGCAACCATGGATATGCTGCTGCCGGCCATAATGGTAAGGATGAGGTTGACCCACAGGTCCTCTCGGCTGATAAGGAGGGTTCCATTGCTGATCCAGGAATGGTCTGTATGGAGGAGGAGGAGGATTCCGGTAAATTTTGTTCTCTTTATTTAGAATGACACCGTGGTCGTTTCCTGGGCGGGGCGTTTGAGCCCACTGATTTGGAGCTCCGGCTTGCAATTGTTTGGATTTATATAGCATCTTTGTTTTTGGGTCAATATTCCTATTTTGGACACCAGGATGTTGTTTATTTGCACGCTTTTCCCCAGCGCTCTGCTTTTGTTTCTTTTTATTCTTCCTCATGGCTTTCTTCCTAGAAATACAAATTGTTCAATCAGTATAGATATATAAAAAGGAAGCTAAGCTAAGTAAACACAATAATTGATCTGCAACAGATCATTAGTTCATTGCAAAGCAAAGTCTTACTCCTCTTTCTTTAGCTCCTTGTTCCTCGTCAGGATGCTCTTTATAGTCACAGGGTTTAGACTCTTGCACAGAGGGACAGGCTTAGCGTTACTCTTTTTTAGCTTCTGAAACCTTTTCTGGTGCTGAGATGTTAGGATGTGATCGGCATATTCATTCAAACTCAGAGAATTGATCTGGCATGCCTGGCAGCTGTGCAAGGCATCTCTGTGTATATAAGGAAGAAATAAAACATCAGATATCACAAAATATACTTTTTCCCCAGCTTTTAGACATTAGATTTCCAAAGATAAGATAGACAGACCATAAAGGCTTCCATAGGTCATTATCACTTTATGCTGTGTTATAGTTTTCAGTTTTTACATAGACTTGTTAAAAAATGACCGGGTATAAATTATATATAATGGTTAAAGGTAAAAGCCTCGAAATGCAAATATTTTACCATAATAATACAGGGGTTGAAAACTTAAAAATCTAATTCCATATTTTTCGTAGACTTGCATAAGACATCACTCCCCTTCAAATGATATTCATTTCTGGATTCCCTTGTGTTGCATCATAAATACAGTAAAAAAATAGATAAACTTCTCTTTAGAGATCAGGGATGCAGGACAAATTGTGTTTCATTGTTAATAGCCCTACTTACTTGCCCAACGCCGCTTCCAGCTCAGTGTGGTGCTGCATGCTGTGCATATGATCCTGTCCTTCCTACAGTTGGAAAATAATAATATTAGATGTTTTAAAAACATTTCAACATAAATTGATAGCATTTGCAGGAACCTACCCTTTTTAAATAGGACTTGCGACACAACATGCAGAAGTTTCTTTTCAACTTCTTAGAGGATCGTGGATGTTTCTGATTCACCGTTTGTTTTTGCACGTCCTGTTGTTTGGATTGTAGGTCTGCCATTTCTAAACAAGTAACAACCAGATTCCCCTCAATATTTACACGGATCTAAATATGAATCCAATGTTACAACAGAATCAATCTTTACAGCAAGCTATATCTGGAAGAAAAAAAAATCTCATCTTCAAATTAGATTTTTTTTAAAAAACAAACTCATGACAACGTGGTTTTTAGTCAGAACTCTTGAGTTTTTACATGCAAAATCTTTTACATCTACAGACGATTCAGATACCACGCTAGAATACATTAAAAACATTTACCTAAAGTTGCATCAGCTTCGCTTTATACAAATGTCGAAACGTGATGTCAAATACTTTTATAAGTATTGGTAATACCTGACCAATTTCACATGTCTGTTAAACGCCAATGCTTCTGTTTCTTTACGCCGCCATGTTTGGCTACGTATGCTACGTTCCATCGACGTCAACCAATCGTTCACCACTTCCAAAAAAGGCTGCGCCGGAAGTCAACCCAGTTAGATTTACAAAACATGAGGATGGAACCAGTTATAAACGTTAGCGCGACGTTCTCATTTTGGATAGTTTATAGATCGAATCAACAGGCTCCCGCGGAAGAGACAGAACTGGAAGGTGGCTTTACAGTATTCAAAGAAAAGTTGGTACAATCCAGATTACGTTTTGATCATACAAGGTACAATATTTAAAATGGGGAAAATATCCAACAGGAAATTGTGATTTTTGTTTTCTAGAAGAGACAGTAAAACATGTTTTGTTAGTCTGTTTTAAATATTTTGGACAAACTTTCTACTTCTAATTGTTTTTATTTATTTAATGAATTACCTTAAAACGAAATTGATTGAAAGAATATAAGATGTATTAACTTAATTATTATTATTATTATTTTTTTGTGGGAGAATTTATATATATCGTCCCAATCCACACTCCTTTCCAGTAGATGGCGGTAATGCACATCAATAAGTTGCTTGACAACCGCCATGAAAAAGAATTTAAAATAAATTCTTAGAAAGAACTCAAGAGATAAGTGTTATGTAATTGTTTTTCATTATCTTACATTAATCAATGCAATTAAGAGGATTTTAATCTTTTGGTTTTGTTGGGTTTTTTTTTTTTTTTTTTTTTTTTTTTTTTTTTTTTTACCAGTTGGTGGTGGTAAGGCACCATTCCATAAAGAAGAAGAAGCTTTTTAAAAAAAGAAGAAAAGGAAGAAATTTTGCTGAAAAGTAAAGAACTGGAAAGTGTACAGTTATTTNAAAGAATTTAAAATAAATTCTTAGAAAGAACTCAAGAGATAAGTGTTATGTAATTGTTTTTCATTATCTTACATTAATCAATGCAATTAAGAGGACGATACCATTTTCTATCCGGTACATTTTTTTTTTTTTTTTTTTTTTTTTTTTTGGTTTTATACCAGTTGGTGGCAGTAAAGCACCATTCCATAAAGAAGAAGAAGCTTTTTAAAAAAAGAAGAAAAGGAAGAAATTTTGCTGAAAAGTAAAGAACTGGAAAGTGTACAGTTATTTTATTAAGCACTGAGCACCTTTAAAAGACACAAAATTAGATGAGAGGATGTAGTATTTATGTGTGTGAGTGTATAAGTATGTATTTAATTTAGCCTTTTTGTTTTTAAAGATTTGAAGATATATAGGACTTTTTTTTTTTCTGAATTACATCTCCATCCAGTTGATGGCGGTAATACACATAGTCTGTAAACTACCATAAAGCACAATAGAAGAAGAAAAAGAAGGAAATTTAGCTGTTTTGGGCGTGTTGCTGTGAAAGCTTTTCAGGTCTTACTGGACATATTTTTAGGTCAAAATGTGCAACGGTTGTGTGCATAAAGAGTATCCAGACCGGGTAAGACGAGACTGCTGACATATCTTTGATAGTAACTTTAAACTGTATTTATATGTGGACACATTTTTTAGGGTAACACTTGTCTGGAGAACGGCTCTTACCTGATGAACTATCTGGGCTGTGCGAGCTGTCATCAGAGAGACTTCGTGTTGATCAGCAACAAGGCCACCGAGGATGAAGATGGGGAGGAACTCGTCACATATGACCGTTAGTGTCTGTTCTATTCACATTACCTCTAGACTGCAACAGTCCTGGTTGAAGCTGTGTTTGTATTTAGTCTCTTTAAACTAAAAAAAAAAACTTATTTTTTTATCGATTTAATGTGATGACAAAACATAAAACAGTGCAAATATGTAGGGAAAGAGTAAACTTTTATAGCAACGTTTTAGATTAGGTTTTACAACGAATCTTTAATGTTTGAAAAGATGCTTGGTAGTTACATTTTCTTTATGCAAATATTACATTTTTAGGTTCTAGCATAGATTCTTTACTCATGAACCGCTTCTCTGTGCCTGAGGAAAACATCCCCATAGCATGAGCCTGCCTCCGCCGTGTTTCATGTTGGGGACAGCGGTGTCAAAAGTACACACATTTGTTACTTAAGTTTAAAAACACTCTGGTAAAAGTTGAAGTATCAACCTGACCTCTTTACTCGAGTAAAAGTGAAAAAGTATGTGCTCCTAAAACTACTTAAAGTATAAAAGTATAAAGTAACCTTTAAAAAAAAAACAGCCAGATGCCACTATATGAATTGAAAGCTCAATTTTTCGACTATTTGGAAAAAAATTTTGAGATAGGGCCAAGGATGAGGGAGGTCTTGTTGGTCTCCATCTGCCGATACGCTCTCGCCTGTGTCCGACCTTTCAGACATTTCAACATCTTTTTCTGAATCCAAAATTGTAGCATGGCATAGACAATTCACGTTTGCAGTTTGAAGAACACCTTCTTCTGATGATTTCCTTTAGCTAACCAATGAGTGTTTGCGTTATATGACTCCTCCAATTACACTAGTTTTCACTAGATGTGGATGGAGCACATGATCTGCATTGGATGGCGCACATGACGTGAAATAAATATTCATAAACATTAAACGAAGCCAAGAGTAACGAGTAACGTTTGTTTTAAAAATGTAAGGAATAGAAAGTACAGATACTTGTGTGAAAAATGTAATGAGTAGAAGTCAGAAGTAGGAAGAAAAATAAGTAATGGAGTAAAGTATAGATACCTAAAAAGTGTACTTAAGTACAGTTACAAAGTATTTGTACTTAGTTATTTGACACCTCTGGTTGGGGATAGTATGTTCAGGGTAACGTACTACTAGTTTTCCACCAAGCGTAACTTCCGTACAGGTCATAGTTTTACTCATCTTTGTTTGGTTAACAATCGCCCTCCCTGAGCTGATCAGTGCTGAAAAAACGGTTATTTTATGACCTCACCCTCCACAACTTAGCCCAGTATCTTCATGTGGCTGTATGTGTACTCTGTTCCCTTACAAACATCTGAGGCCCTTACAGATCATCTAGACTTTGTCCAATTTCTTTCAGTCAGGCTGTCTCATTGGGCTCCATCATCTGCACTTTGAGAATAATTTCACTGATCTCTTTCCAGATGTTTGCAAAAACTGCGACCACGTTATCGCCAGACACGAGTACACCTTCTCCGTTGTAGACGAATATCAGGTATCGTGTTAGATTACTTTACTGTTCTGGCAGTGTTCCACAGATTTGCTCAGAGGATCTTGTGTATCTGTTTTGTGTGATGCAGGAGTACACCATGCTCTGCATGCTGTGTGGAAAGGCAGAGGACTCCATCAGCGTGTTGCCAGATGACCCCAGACAGTCTGCACCTCTCTTCTAAACCGCATGACAAACCTTAAAGGTTATCAACATGGATCTGACACTGGTCGCCCTTGAAGTGCTACAACCATCGAATATTCAAAGGGTTTAGATCTCTCCCTGCACAAGAGTTTGCTGCTTGCTTTTAACGTATTTTGATATGCTCTTTGTTACATTGGCAGTTGAGCAGAACAGTCATTTTTTAACAATTTTATCAAGGACCAAAATCATCTATATTTTACTTGATTGACTGTTAATACGATTTTTGTACTGTTTCACCAGATTGGTGTAAAGCCCAAATATATCTGCTGTTTACTTTTCCTCAAAAGATTTGGTTTTGGATATATTTGATTCTAAGGAAAACTGGATTTTGTATTTGCCAAAGTTATCCTAGATATTAACGCTTGGTTAACTATGAGCAACTTGCTAAAACAGAACATTTCTGATGGGGTAGGAATACTTTTTACAGTGTATTCCAAGGTGCTCCTCTATAAATAAATATATCAGTTAAGTTTAATACAAAACGCAAATATTATATATTCAAAGCATCTAATCCTCTTCTATCTTTTTGCCTTCTTTCCAGATGTGTACATTTTGCATGTTTGTAAATCACGGCTCTGGATGGTAAAGGCAGAGCCTCAGTAGAGCTGCTATCTTCCCTCTGGTATCACAGCTCGACATATTTTAGTAGGCAAACATTTCTGCACTCAAAATCTTTTATGATCCTTCAGTAATATTTTATATTTCTAACTAAAAGCCTTGTTGTGAGTTTCTGAAGCTATAAATTATAGTAAAAGTGAAAAGAAAAAATAAAATAAACAACTTTGCGTTCCAAATCTATAAATGTGTCTAACTTTTTCAGCTGAATTACTGGAATAATTTATTGATATTCTAAGTGATTTTTCTTTATAAAGCCACTGTGGTTTAATTTTTAAATATTTTCAATAATTTACCATAAAAATAAAGGGGAAAAAGCTGCTGGTGTCTTGACAGAGGTAGCTTTGAATCCAGCAGGAAATAAAGGTTTCAGGATTATCCTGTTTATGCATGAAAGCAAATGTTCTTAAACCCTTATATGATTTTTCCATCCCATCAAACAGATAATTTTAGTCGATGCATTTAAAAAAAAAAAATTGTGAATTTTCCCTTTTGATGCCTTCTATAAATGGGGGGAACAAAAAATGGATTTATCAGTATTTGAGCTTCTTATCAATGATCAACAGGAAAACTAAGATTTTCAATTATTTTAACTGAATATTATAATAAAATGTCATTAAAATTTCAGACTCCAATCTTAGCAATTCACATTACATTATATATATATATATAAAAAACGCCTCTGCTTAGAACAATGGATTGACTGTACCGGTCAAATCTACCTTTATTGAAATATGTTTAGTTTCCATTCAGATCCACATAGTTTCTAATTTTCTTTCCTTTTATATCTGGTCAAGTATTCCATTTACCACCACACCCGCCTCAACAAACACCTGAAAGACATTCCATATTCCATTAAATTAAATCAGAACCAGTTCAGTAAAACACATATATGCTTCAGCAGATTGTACAAATAAATAAAATAAAAAAAACTATGTAAGGATATTCATGCATGATTACAATACTGCTCTTAACATACATTCTTAGAAGCTGGTAGAGCGTGATAATATCTTCCTATAAAAGTAAAAGCACACTACAACACTAAGATAAGCAAAAAATGAGCAGCTTCTCATCAAATACAAGGATTAGCTGTCTGAGGACATGACGTCTGTGCAGCATGCGCCGGCTCTGTACATTAATGCTGATTTACACAAACCGATTGCATGGTTGGTTACCGTTCTAGTGGTTCTACAGTGAACACATGGTTTATATATTTAGTGCTGTTTTTGCTAATAGTACATATCTACAGTTAGTTGGGTTTATTTTACATCTTAGTATTAAACATGATTATTTTGGTTTCATTAGTCCTAAATATAGATTGATTAGAGTGAAATGAGAGGTAAAGTTGGCAATCTTGACATTTTCTCCACTTTTTCACATCTGAATAAATAAATAAATACATTTTTATCATACATTTTACATTAAATACAGTACATTCCCTTCAGTTAATGTTATATTTACACATGCTAACAGACATGGTGGTTGGGGTGAGTCAATCGTATGTGAATTCAGTCATCAAGTCAATTTTCCGTAGGCTTTACCCTCATAGAGCAGAGCTTTTCCTCTGGAGCCAAGACCCCACTGGGCCGGCCCCGGAGAGGCCCTGTCCTGCGGCTGAGGGTGTCGAGGGGGCGGGGAGCCCGACAGACTTGATGGAGAGCGGCTACGTTCCTGCAGGGCGGTGCTGTCACGGAGCTCCTGTCGGGAGGGGGAGGAGCTTAAAGAGCGCTGCAGGGAGGAGGAGCTGCGAGGACGAGGAGGAGGGCTGAAGAGCATCCCGCCACGGTCCTGCATCAGCTGGGTCAGGCTGGCGAGAAAGTCTGCGTCGCTGGTGCTGCTGGCGCGCACCCTCAGACGCCGTCGTCTGGAGAGAGATTTGAGAAATGTAAATTCCTTCAAATCATTTCAAGAATCAAAACAGCTGTTGATAAATATGTAACTACTTTAGTTTTAGACCGAACCTACCGAGACAAGGTTTGATTCTTAAATACAAAATTGATGTGTTTTCTGTTCAGTTTCTGCTTTATTTTTACCGTACTCTAAACAAGTTTCAGAGTATAGCACGTTTTAGAGTATATGTCAGCTAAAATGTTTCAGCCCTTGTAGGAATGTCACTCTAGAGAAGCATTTAAGGTTGGCAAAGAAAACAAGTTCATTATTTCTTTATATCTAAACTAATGGAGTGAAATAAATCATTCTAATTTTATCGGCTGTTATTTGCACATTTCTGAAACAGGCAAACCAGAACTAAATTACATTAAAACCAGCAGCCAGGCAGAGATGCAGGCTGTTCCTTTGTAAACCACAGCAAACTCCTGCCTCATTCTAATAACACTTGGAGGGTCATAGTAATTTTGAGGGAAATACTCTCATCTTGATGGTATTTGTGCAGCTTATATACCTGCTGTCCACACATGGACGGACTGGGGGTTTCCCAGGAGGTGGCCGAGGCAAAAACCTTCCGCTGAGCTGCTCCGGAAGAAACGTGGCGCTGACAGGACGAGGGATTTTACTTCTACTTCCGGATGAGGAGGATAGGGACAGGGGGTCTTCTCCCACACAGTCAGACCTAGAGCCACGTTCCGAGGAAAGCCTGTCTCTGGGCAGAGCGCAGGGCAGGTTGTCACAGGACAAAGAGGGAGAGGGAGAGTGTGTGGGAGAGCCGACCACTGGGCTGCTCCAGCGGTGGCGTCTCTCCACATTCGGGTCCCTGCTCGGAGAGTCCAGCGGATTGCTGGGATCTCTCACCGGGATCCGACTTAGTCTCGGAGAAGACGGGGAGTCCCTTCGTTTTAGCAGAGCAGGAGGCGGGGAAGATGAGACGGTGACGGTGCTCTCCACGGCGCCCCCTGCTGTGTCAGCAGGAGGCTGCTGATTTGGCTCTGAGGAGCGGTCAGGCAAACCTGAATCGCTTTCTGGGTCTCTGTCGTTGGTCAGGTGAGACGTAGGGCCTTTGGCAGGGATTAACTCTGGCACTGAGTCCAACCTCCTTCTGTCCTTCAAGCCTTCCTCAGCAACTTCCTCAGGTTTGCAGCTAGGTGCTTCATCATTCTTCTGTAGAGGAAAGAGTGGTGCACTGTTAAGAGGACTGAAAACAGTTATAGACATTATTCAAACTGTAAGAAGAGCTTTAAAAGTAAGTTCTATAATATTTTTAGTTGAGTCTCTTTATCTGAATTCATGTAATTTCTGTTTTTAAGTGTCAGCAGTTCATAAATCAACTAAAACCTAACTAGGATCAACCTGGAATGCATCTGCTTGAATTTTGTGATGCCATCGTTTGATTAAGTCCAATTGAAAATGAAAGTAAAACGATCGATTGAGTTGGACAAAGATTCACATTTCAATGTCATAATTTAAAGGTTAACAGTAAATTTTAATTACAGTAAAACACATTTATTTGACAAAGAAATCTGGATTTTAATCCCAGTTAACAGAATAAGATGAAATCTTAAAATCCAACCTTCTATTAATTTTTCCTTTATTGTTCAAAAGAAACATCTAATAGTAGAGTTTTCACAACTGCATAAAAATCAATTTATAATAACTTGTAAAATTCCTGCATTTAGCATGAAACATTAGTGTAGAAAGGTTCATGTTTCCAAAAGGTTTTAAGCTCAGAGTTTCATTTAAAACATTGATATCTCCTAAAACGGATCTTGCTCCATGTGCAGCTGACCTAAAGTTCAGACTAATTTGTTGAGATCAGTCCTGCTGCTTCTCATTATGTCCTAGTAGAAAGAAATCTTGTTATCCTACCTGCTCCATCTGGGATCTCCCCATTAAGACAGAAGGCATCTGTCCCAGCATCCCCGGCAGCCTCCTGTGGCCCAGTAACCATGTGCCGGGCACCGCCATCTGTGACAGCACTGGGCTGTTGGGTACTGCAGGACTGGCCTCGCCATCCGGCTCATTGGACTTATTCTCAGCTCTTTCAGCCCCACAGGGGCCTGACTTGTCCTCGCATTGGGATGCTGCCTGAGGTTTGCCTCCTCCTGAGCTGTTGACCTGCTCCAGCTCCAGCATCACCCACTCCTGAGAGTCCGCCTCCTGAGGCACAGGGCTAAAGTTCACTGCAACAAAGCCACTGCTCGCTGCGGCTTCCTCCGGGTCAGGAGTTGCTGTTCCAGACTGTTCCTCATTGCAGGAAGGCTTCTGCTGCTCCTGTCCATTCTCAGGAATGGGCGTCTCCCCAACGTGACAGAGGACCGGACGCTGTTTGCCCAAGCTGACAGAAAGAAAGAGAATCAATAATGACATTTGCTTTAGGTTTCAGTTTTTGCTAATAGTATTTGTTACAAGGAGCTCTTACTATGCTTCAAACAAACGTTCAATGGTGGGCTTTGGCTCAGGCACGAGTCTATTTTCAAACGCCAAGCTCTGGCTGTGCCTCATCCTGCGGAGCAGCGGAGCAGCTCGGTCTAGGAACATCGTCTCTGATCGTACCCGTCTGGGTGAACTCTGCACAGAGCCGGTGTTCGGACTCTGGTTCCCCTGGTTCTGGCTGTGTTCATCCTCACTCACTACCTGAAGAACAGCAACAAGGACACATCCTATAATCCATAAAATAATACAGTGGCACCTTAGAAAACTGCAAACATGGACCCCACTCAGATTCAGAATTCAATTTAAAATTATTCTCTTTACGTTAAAGGTCATCCACTACCATCTCACCTTCCTATCAGATCGTCCTCCTCAGTTCATCTCTCTGTTCCCTTATTCCGCCTCAGTACCTTTGGGAGCAGAGCTTTCTCTCACTCTGCCCCCAAACTCTGGATTATTCTCCCATCGGACATCCGTAATGTTTACAATATTAATATTAACAATATATCAATATTGATCCGTGCGCCGGACTGGAGTTGTGACAGGCAGCCCGGGCCATAGGCGGCTACGCTCTACCCCTTCTATTCATTTGGCTAGCCAATCTGAATCGTTCGATTCCATTTCGAGAGCAAGATCATCTGTGATAGTAGCACTAGACATCTTCCAGACATGCGAATAAAACTAGCAGCAGTTCAGCGGACAGGATGAATGAACGGTAGCCGGCGCGCGCGGATGACATCATACACACGCCGCTTTGTTTTTAAAAAATATGAATATTAAAACATATAACCGCGGATGTCTGGGGGACAGTGATTCGCCTACATGTTATGTATGCTGGCGTACCATAAATGATAAATTATGAACAGTTTAGTCTGTGCCTTCAAGTCGTTGCCCATAGGAAGACGTTACTTGGATATAACCTAACGGAATATCTTAAGAACATCTCCAAATGACACAAAACTATATGGGTGAGTAGAACATGATGTAAAAACGTAAAATCAAGGGCCCAATGTAAAAAACACGGCGTTTCCCTTTAAGCTTTGTTTTATCCTGAGAAAAAAATCATAATAAATTCTAACTTAGTGAAGAAAAATTAAACACTTAAAATGAATAAAGTGTTCACAAACTTCAGCACAGAACTGAATGTAGAAGCTTCTGAGCTTCATGTAGGACGTTCATAGTAAACAACAATCCTGACCTTCCTGATCAGTGGCTGAGGATGTTTAAGGTTGCGGTTGCGATCCATCTCCTCCCACACGTCTCCACCGGCGGTGGTCGGTGTGGGGATGGGGGGGCAGTTATCGGCGTCGCTGAGGCGCTCCCCTTGAAGGACGTCCT